AGTGGTTGTTTCTACCCCACTCACCACCAAAGACTGTGTGGACAAATAATGAAATGTTTGTTAAGCTTGTAATTAAAGGCAGAGGACGTCTACAGGAGTCGGACAGGCAGGATCCAGCAACCATCTACATCCCAGCGATGAAGGACAACCTCAACTGGCTACTGGTCGAAGATGTTGGATTCCAGGCAGCCTTGGCAGGCTATGACGGTGACATTTCAACTCACTATCCTAAACACAGACTTTGGGCAGAAATGGGTAACCTACCCTTAAAAGCCACACACAGATGTCAACACGAGCCAGTAAAAGGCCTTACGGTCTTTACTGATGCACCAGGGCGATCCAAGAAAGCTGCATTGACGTGGGTAAACCCTGCCACAAGACAGTGGGAAAAGGAGGTACAGACCATAAGCCATGGTTTGGTACAGGTCCTAGAACTTGCAGCTATTCGCATTGCCTTTGAACTGTTTTCTGATCAGCCAATTAACACTGTTACAGATTCGTATTATGCAGCAGGTTTGGTCTCACGTCTCGAGGTTTCCTTTCTTCAAGATGTTGCTAATCCACATCTATTTGCTGAAATACGTACTGTATGGTTTCTTGTTAACCACAGAAAGTATGATTTCTATATAATGCATGTCAGGTCACATACAGAAATGCCGGGGCCCATAGCGGAAGGAAACCAAAGAGCTGATGCTGCCACTATGACTGTCACAGTGCCTAAACTTCTCGAGTAAGCTAAATTGTCTCATTCCTTTTTCCACCAGAACGCATGTTCTCTGAAGAGACAATTTCAAATCACCCCTAACCAGGCTCGAGATATAGTCGCCATGTCCAGACTGCCAACAAAGTACTCCAATGCCATCCCAGGAAGGAGTTAACCCCAGAGGACTGATAGCTAATGAGATGTGGCAGACAGACATCACACACATAGCTAGCTGAGTTTGGTCGGCTAAAATATGTTCATGTTACAGTCGACATGCATTCCAGATACATAACTGCCACTGCACATACTGGGGAAAAGGCAAAAGATGTCATAAGGCACTGGCTTAACTGTTTTGCAACACTAGGGACTCCAAAAAAGATCAAAACTGACAATGGTCCAGCTTACATTTCAGCAAAGGTCAAGACTTTCCTAACAGACTGGGGAATCTCTCACTCCACAGGCATACCGTACTCACCCACGGGACAGGCCATGGTAGAGAGACCACACCGTACCCTAAAAGACATGCTCAAAAGACAAAAAAAGGGGGAGTCCATCTGTAGTCCACAGGAACGTCTGTGGAAGGCAACATATGTCATGCATTTTTTAAATTGTGAGAGTGCAGAAAAAAGTAGGTATGAAAGACAACATAGACCTCAGGCATTTTCCTCTCACAAACCACCAGTCATGATAAAGGACTTAATATCAGGGCAATGGATGGGACTGGTAGACCTCGTGACATGGGGGAGGGGGTATGCATGCATATCCACAGGCAAAGAATTAAAATGGATTCCTTCCAGGTGTGTCAAACCTTATATAGGTACACCTTCACAGCAGGAGCAAGAACCAGAAGTGATAATTGAAGAGACTGCAGACAAAGACACATAACTGATGATTACTACTGACAATGACCAGTGTGGCAAAAATACAGAATCCTAATAAAGTCATAAGTGTGAGTGTGAAGAAAGAGTGAGGCGACTGCCAGTATGTGTGAATGAAAGAGAATTATGTGAGTGTACAAGCACTTTAAACACTAAACCTTAAAAAGGTAACACTACCTCAATCACATGGTCACATTAGAAGAATTCAGTTCATAATGTTTATCCCACAATAAACCCTTTTGTTGAAATAAAGTTGAATTTTCCCTGTTCTACACAAACCCTTAGGCAAATAAAGGTTAATGTTTCTTGTTTCTCCCAGTTACATAAGTACCACCCCGTTTCATAAAAAAACCCTCAGATGAATAAAGTTGTTGTTTATCCCAGTTACATTACATCCCTTAGGAAAATAAGGATTCAAGTTATATTAAGCAAGTTCAAAAGGTTAAAGATAAAAGTTCAAATAAGTAGGTTTGTTGAAAAACCAAGGTAAAGCAGTGAGCTGGATCACTGGGATACACTGGTAGTTGTTAAAGGTTTCAAAAGGTTTAAAAATGTACTGTTCTACTATATGCACTGTTCTATGATTCGTCATAATAATAAAACTGGAGGAGATGTAGGGGGAGTGTTTTAGGGATGCTGGAAGGAGTATCCTGGGAAATGAAGTCCCAAATGTACTCCTGCACACATGGGCACTGGGGTACCCCATGGCAATTGGTTAAGAGAATCGTGTTGTTTTAAAGTGCATATAAAAGGTGTTGTTTGCTTCCAATAAACGGATTTGGATGTTTGGACCCTCAACCAACTGGGTCATGTGAGTTTATTATTTATTATATTAATAAACGCCACATCTGGAGGAGCCCAGGGACCCTCACCGGAGTAATGTCCCAGGGCGCACAGAGGGTCCCCGGTTCTGGAGGGTCTTCACAGATGAGCAGAGGTCTTCTCTTGCCTGGTTCGCCAAATTGATTCAAAGAAAAGCACACTTTTATTACGGTCGGGGAGATGCAGGGGGGTTTTGCCTGTGCATGTCTGCTGAGAAAAGAAACACAACAGTTTTTTATACAGTGAATTTCAAAAATTATCTATCATATACACTCTTTACGAAGTCTGCCTTATCTAAATAGACATTTGGTTGCCTAACTCCTTATTATTATAGAGTAGTTACATAAAGTTTTATCATTTCAAACAGCTTAGGTTCCCCCCTCCCCCCTTCTGTCTCCCTTGCAATGCTACATGTTAAAAGTCTTTCCCGCTTTTCCTGACAGTCCCTTTTGTTTATGTAAGCTAACTTTATCTTAATTGCCTACAATTTGGGCAGCAACCTTCTTTCAAGCAGTTACAATTTTGCAAAGTCACACTAATATAACTAAATTTTTATTTTATTTTGTCTTGTCTTTATTTCTAAAGCTCGAGTTCTTCTCACACAGTCAAGATGCAGGAATTCCAAGATTTGGGGTTCCTGTGAGATTGTCATGGGACAGAGAGTTACACTTGTCGCCATGGGATTTATGGTGCTGAAAAAAAATCTCCCGGAGCAGTTAATTAGGGGTGAGATAAGAAAGGGTTTATTTTGCCAAGGCAGAAGATGTTACAAGACGCGCGCAGGCCGTGCCTGAGATGTTACATTTTATAATACCATCCATCCAATCCCAAATGTGTCCACCCTGTGGCCTTTACTTTGGACCGCCCTGGGTCCACCCCCTGAAAATGGGTCTGGGGTGCATTTTGGGACCCTCTGCTCATCCCATCTTCACCATCATCAGAGCACAAAGGGTACATAGTTACCTAATTCTTGACCGTATTCTGTGGTTTAGGCCCTGATACGCTGTTCTGCCAACAATCTAGGCCTTGCCTTGACAAAAGACTAAACATTTCTGCTGTATTCGGGGGTAGGAGTGATATAGGGAGCATAGAATGGGGTAAGAGGGTTAAGGAATGTGTAAACAAGGGTGCTACAGGGAAAGGGATGCAAGGAATGCTGCTTTTAGAGTCTACTTCCACTACTTATAAAACTTATAAGGCTTACCAATATTAGAAAAATAAGAAACCATTAGGGGCTTAAGGCATCACACTTCATCAACTCATAAAACACAAATAATCAGGGTTTGTCAAGAAACATCTATGATGTGGGTTGAGGCCTTGTCTATGGTCGTATTAAAAATCCACATACAGTCCAAGGCAGAAAACAACATGATCCCTATTCACATAAGGGAAGGTTAATCTGCAAAATTGTTTAATGGTTTAGGTTCTACTTTGCAGGAACTGCAGAGATTCATCGTGTCATCTAGACCTATGGGACTGGACATTCCTGTTCATCTGTTCCAGCCCAGAAACTGAGCCTATGCTAAACAGTGGGATTGAAACCCCTGCAAGCCAAATGGAAAGAACCGTTTCAAGTTCAGCTGACCATCTCCATCGTGGTCAGAGTTGTTGGCAAAGAACCCTAGATTTGCTACCCAGAGAGAAAAAGGCCTCTGTTCCTGAGACAAGTCGAACAATAGAAACTGTTACAAACTGTTAAAATGATATTTGAACTATTTTTCTATGTGTACTATCTAATACTACCAGTAACTACAGATTAGGTTTAGAACTAAAATTTACATTTGGCTTTAGTAAAAATGCATCCAATATTCTTAATGAAAATGAGTGCTGGATTTGCACTATGGATTAGGTTGAAATTTGGCACCAAGTTTAAATCTTACATTGGGCAATTCTTGAATATGGCTCATTAGGTTTATAGAGATATCTTCTATAAACTTACTTCATGGTTACCAAATCTGAACCTGGATAAAACAGCTATTCATGTTAGTTGTATATAGTGTTAGATCTGCATAATAGCTTATTGTATGGTTAGTGTTGTAGGTGTTAGTCATCTTACTGGAACAATGTTAAGTATAGGTGGTAGAGATTGGACAAGATTGAGTTTTGTCCATCTCTAAAAGGGGGACTGATGCCTCAGAGCTTTTTGGTTTTTTTAACTTTTGTAGAGTTTAGAAGTAGTTGTGTAGTGAATGTAGATTTTAATGTAACTGTATTATATCCCTTACCCTTAACATAGTAGTTACACATCCATATCAATCCCTCTAAATTCCGTTAGCGTGTTTAGTCTTCTTTTCAAGGTAGAATTGTAGAAAAACAACCTAAGGCCTGGACCAGAAGATATCACACAGACACAGTGACCTTCAAGCCCAGAACTTTGGAGGAACTCCAAGAACTGTGCGTGCTGTGAGGAAGAAGATGAAGAAGAGGGGTCCCAAAGACCCCAAACCCAATTCCTGAAGGAGCGTGTCAGGGGGCAGAACCCGGAGTGGACAAATTGGGATTGGATGGACCTTATTATAAAATCATAGAACCACTGTCTGAGCGTGCGTGTCATGTGTATTCCCTGGACCTCAGGCCTGAGATTAAAGGACCTACTTTCTTTATCTTATCTTATACACTAAATTGGCCTGGAGTCTTTTTTCTCTGCGATCTCTTTTAGGCAACAGTAGTCTCAGCAATAGTAGTCTCTCATTGTAGCCTTCCAATACATAAAGGGGGATTGTAAAAAAGAGGGAGACTGACTTTTTACATGTGCAGATAATGATAGGACAAGGAGCAATGGTTTTAAACTAAAAGAGGAGAGATTTAGATTAGATATTAGGAGGAAATTCTTTACTCAGAGAGTGGTGAGGCACTATAACGCTGCCCAGAGAACTTGTGGATGCCCTATCCCTGGAAGTGTTCAAGACCAGGTTGGATGGGGCCCTGAGCAACACCTTCTATGGTTCGATGAGCAGGAGTTGCTGCAAGAAATACAAACATAAACCTGAGCTAAACATTCAATGGAGATAAATGCCCTTACATTCTGTATTTATTTTTGTTTATTACTTGGATGTTCTTTACTTTCCTGCATGCATGTGAATAACCTTACTATGCATTCCCAATTTTCCAGTCATCTCTGTTCTCTGGAACTCCTTGAATTTTCAGGTCTCTGTTGTGAGCGAGTAGTAAAGTCTGTCCATTATGTTGTGCAGAGAAAAGAGTGGTTTTTATGAATCAAAAATGTGCTTTTTATTTAGCAAAACACAATATAGCCTCGCTTCACACAAACAATCTGACCTTCAGGTGGAATGCAGTCAAAGGAGTTACAAATAGCACTTTTATTAAGGAAGGAGACAGAAGCATTTAGAGTTTAACTGGCAGTGCTCACATACAGAGAAATAGCAAGTGAGCTACCTGTAGCTCTTGTGCTCCAAAAAAACATGGATGCAATTTATATATGAACTCAGTTGTATCTGCACGGAGTAGGTAGGAGTATTTTTCATCAGAAAACAAGAGGGAGCCCTGTGTATTACAAAGACCTTTCATCACATTATGTTGCTTCCTTCACCATTTCATGAGTATCTTGCAGTCATTAGTGTGTTCCCCATTGCTGCACTCATAGACAAAAAGGCACTACAGTTTACAGATGGCAGACTCAGGAAAGAGGAGGTCAAGTGTTCCACCCAGGACCCCACAGGTACTCCGTGACAAAACAAGGGTTCCAGCCGCTGTTGAAGGTATGAGACTAGTGACCTACATATTGGTTCATCCTCTTTCATGAAGTGCTTTCAAAACATTTGCAAGGACACCGTGATGCATCCAGTGGTTTAACAAGAAGGATGTCTATTAGGTTGATTTTTGATTGCTATGATTTGGTAGGGGGGAACTTGATTATGATGCAAGATGTGCACTTTCTTTGTATCCTAGAGCCTTATAATTTCAATGAAAAAGTTCTGAGCATGAGATTGCTACTGCTGCAGTTTGATTTAGCACAGATCATCAAGTTTTCACAACAGTCATGAATGTTTCTTCTGTCTCTGGACAGATGTTTGCTTCTAGCAGGCTTGTGCATCTTCACAACTATTTCTCCAGGAAGACCCATGTGAAAATATTTTTTTGTTCATACATATTTTTGGGACCAGCATTTCTTCACACAATTACATTTGTATGTAAGACAGAGTATACACATGCATTATGCTGACTGATTGTCATCTGCAATCAAATTTTATTGATTTCTTAGGGAAGTATAAACTAAATCACAGGCAGATCCTCTCCACAGCCTGCATATATCTCTGAATCTGCTGGAATTTTAGAGACAGAAAAGTCCAAAGAACAGATAATAACACCAATATCAATTCCTGTTATGAGAAATAAATAATCTGGTTTTATTATAAGTAAAATGAAATTAGTGGAAAGCAGAGGGTGGTGGAATTTTCTTTTCTTTCATTTAATTCCAAGGTTTTTTTAGGCGCCTTGTGGAGGTTGTAAGGTGAAAGGCCCCATCTGGGCCTGATGCCAGGGAAACATTGCGGTCGGGGTAGGGCAAATATAAAAATGGAAAAATATACCCCGGCCGCATGGCAGAGAGACCCCTCTGTACATGTACAGAGGGGTACATCATCAATCAATCAGGAGGGAGGGTAACACCCGTTCCTGAGTTCAAAAAATTACCTTTTAAGGTAAAATACCTGTCACCTGTTGAATATTTAACAGTTTATGTAACCAAGAGGGTACAAAAAGAGCGCGTTTTCCAAACGGCGGTGTGCTTTTTCCAGGCCACGTGACTTGGGATAGCACCCAGCACTGCAATAAAGAATTTCTTGTTGCAATAAAAAATACCTGCAGGTATTTTTGCCGTTTCATAAATTAAAAGCAAGGATTTTTCCTACGCTATTGTATTCCTCAGACATACTGTTAAAAACATTGTATGTCCTAGGTTTCATTTTATTTGCCAAACTCATTACAGTGACATGGAAACCCAGGAGTCCTGCTTCCCTCCCCAAAACCAGGTCTGCTTCTCCTACTATACAAACAACATCTTCTACATGAGAACAAAAACATTACAGTTGGACACATACCAGGACAGCAAAGCTATTTACATGAGGAGTTTTTCAGGTGACTCACTGTAATTTTGAGACCTCATTGACCCTTTCTCTCTCTGTTTCCCTCCTTTTGTTTCTTACTATTGTTTCTATGTAGATATTAAAATGCTTTGGGACAAAGGCCACGTCTTCCTGTGAGCTTATAAAGAATAATATACAAAGAAGTCCCAGTCTCATCATGGCTGGGCTTCGCAAATGAAGATTTGGGAAGGGCTCTACCCACGTTTGTTGCAAGTGCGTTGGTGGTTGAAAAGGCCAATACGAGATAGGCATGTCTGGTTGCAAAAGGCACAGCAGAAAGACTCCTTAGATGGTATATTCTGCAAGGCACGATTCTGTCTGCGTTGCCTTTTCTCCTCAAGGGTGATCCTGTGTGCTTTCTCAAAAGCATCAGCAGCGTTATAGATGGTATGTCTCCAGGTCTCCCGATTGGAGGCCAGAGTAGACCAGTTATGGTGGTCAATATGGCCAAGGCTGAGATGTTGTTTCAGGGAGTCCTTGTATCTTTTCTTCGGGGCTCCTCTCTTGTGGCAGCCGGTGGTAAGTTCACCATAAAGCAGGATCTTAGGGAGGTGGTGGTCCTTCATCCTGGAGACGTGCCCTGCCCAACGCAGCTGTGTTCTCAGTAACATGGCCTCAATACTTGTGACTGCTGCTTGTTCTAGAACAGATGCATTGGTCACATAATCTGACCAGTGGATGTTTAGGATTGAGCAGAGACAGCATTGATGGAAGCGTTCTAGGAGACTTAGGTGGTGGCAGTAGATGACCCATGATTCAGATCCGTATATGAGAGTAGACAGTACAATGGCTCTGTAAACACTGATCTTTGTACTTTTCTTCAGGTGTTTGTTTCGCCAAACTCTTTTACGAAGCTTTCCGAAAGCACTGTATGCCTTTGCTAACCTGTTGTCTATCTCTCCGTCAATCTTACCATCCGAGGAGATGAGGCTGCCTAGGTAATTAAACTGCTGGACTGATTTGAGTTCTGATTGGCCAATGGTGATGTGGGGATGATGGGGGACTTCCTGAGGTGCAGGTTGATGGAGAACCTCTGTCTTCTTTAAGCTGACTTCCAGTCCAAAGAGCTCAGCAGCGTCTGCAAAGCAGGATGTTAAACGCTGCAGGGCTGTTTCTGTGTGGGCAACAAGGGCGGCGTCATCAGCATAAAGCAGCTCCCGGACAAGATGGTTTAAGGTCTTGGTGTGGGTCTTCAGTCGCTATGAGAAAAGTACACACAGATAAATGCCAGCAGCTAAGTACGAAAATACATATACTATAATTAACATAATTACCATACCTGTGTCAGAGACTGAAATGGTTAATGGTTTAAACATTGTTAACATCACCTTTCTCAAACTGCAAATAAACAGCTGCTCATCCAGTAAAGCCCTGAATATGCCTACTGAAAGGACCTTCAGATCAGATAAGGGGGTGCTATTGTCCAACTATCCCAGGTGCAGAAGGGTGTGCATATCTGAAGCTACAAACTGGATTTCCAGATAAGGGAAGAGGTTGATAAGAGGCAAATCCTTTGAGATAGTATAATCCTTTTTATGACTCTGCAAATGAAAACCCCTTCAGGGAGCATCAAAAAACATTCACACTTACCCTGGGCTATTCATCTTAGATGATGGACCATGAAACAAAGAATCAAATCCAACAGCAAAGTGCCATTGAATCAGGACATTCCTTTATTGCAGCGTGCTGGAGACATGTGGGAATGATACGTCATAACATGTCCACAGAGATACAGTTCCTTGGGGTTTAAATACATTGTAACATTTGAAATTCCCTCCCAAAGTCCTGCCCAGTCCATGACATCAGAGATTCTTTCTCCAATTTCATCTTGCTGTTCTTTTGTGGAGTAAGGCTGCCATCTAGTGTTCTTTTTCTGGCAAATAATTTGGGGAGGAGGTTGTCTGACTTCTTCCCCAGGGTCAACACCAATGTCTTCATCATGTGTCCTTTGAGTGAACTCGTCCACGTTGGTACATTCCCAGGCATGTGCGATTAATTTCTGTTGACCTCTAGTCCTCTATCTGATTGTTCTAAGTCATTGCTAAGACACTACATTTATCTTTGGTTAAAGATAATCTAGGGCTCCTCTTACTTAAACAATTCTTTATTGAATTTACTTCTCTAGCAAAACAATCTTCTATTGACTGAGTTTTCTGGAGTGTGCAGGTTTGCTAAATTATTTCCTTCAGGTGTACGATTCAGTTGTTTTCTAATCTTCTCAGGTTTTTCTTCATTTTACTGACACTAAACTAAACATAGCAAAAACAACTAAAATTACAAAGTCCAAGACCACAAATTCCTTAGCTAATTAGGGGACAGTTCTTTACAAAGGTCAGGAGACCACAAAATTCCTAGGTTGAGGTAGAGGTATAGTTTTCTTTCAACCATAATGGACCATGATTGATGCTGACATAATAGGCAGCTGTAACGTCTTAGAAGGTATCAGAGACTTCTGTCATGTCCCGTGATATCATCCATTGTAAAACTCTCCTCCCCAGAGGAGATACTAGGCATTCCCACCCAAGCTTGAGTGTATATAACTCAAATCTTTGAGTTTGGGGGGTTTGCCCCACCCCTGATGGAACAAGACCATCACTTTGACAGGACTGTGACCACCACTTCAACCAACAGACATCGGAGTTGCAACGACCAAGTTTCATTGTTGGATCCAGCGTGTAATGTAGGGAATCTCGGCTGGGCCGGGCCCCCTGGTATGGAACAAGAAACTGGTTGAGAATAGAGGCCCTGGTCCTGACAACGTACTGATGCATCCTGAGAGAGCAGAGGTGTGGCAATGGATTTGCCATATGCAGGATGGAAGAAGTCCTGTCAGAGATGGATTAGTGAAGAAAATGAAAACAGTTCAAATGTTACAGAAACTGAAGTTTTTAAGGTGGTTTAAACAGGTTTTAAAATGGCTTTTACCTTTTTGCAGAGTCACTGATCTTCTTCCCAACATTCCCTGTGCTCCCACACAAGGTGTCCTGAGATGTTTCCCATTGGCCTTTGTTAACCCCTTTCTATTGGCTGTTGACCCTTCACCTGATGGTTTTTTCTATGTGACCCTGAACTTGTGATTGGTCCCCTTTTGACCCTCCTGAAAGCCTTATAAACCCCTACCCCACAATAAACTTCCTCTTTCGTCCGTCCCTCCCTGGTGGTCTGTGTGCTCCTTGCGGGGTCGCAGGGCCACGTGCTGGGGCGGGGGGAAGTGCATTCACCTCGCAGGTAATGGGCTAGCAGCCTAAAGCCTGGAGGTCTCCCCCATTCCCACTAATCCGTCGGACAGAGGAGCAGCAGGAGACAGCTGTCCCGTGGGAACAGGGAACACTGTCTCATGAGAACGAGGACTTGTTTTGAACAGAGTGACTGAGAAAAATATAAACATCAAAGGAAAACAGGGACAGGTGCACAGAAATGTTGTGAGAAAGTAGGACTGAGAAAGTCCAGAGAAAGTCCAGCTAAAATCTACCTATTAGCTGTGAGAATTGTAGTTTGTGTATGTAAGCTGACCTATCTGTGTGTTATACGTGTACCAAAAGAGCTGTATTTAAGAGGCTGTAAACAGCAGCCCGTGGCTGCTGTTGCTTCCTTATTCTTTCCAATAAACTTTCTTGCTGAATATTACATGTCGTAGTCCGTCCCAACAACGACATTTGGTGACTCCGACGCGATGCTGCGTCTTCGTAACTTTCGGAAGGCAGAGAAGCCGATACGGGCGGCAGGGAGGTTTTGCCGTGGGAACGGAGCTCGGTGTAGCATGAGAGCAGTGAAGAAGCTGCCAGGTCGGCCAGACAAGAAACCTGGACAGGTGAGCCACCGAGAACAAGTCTATCCTGCTTAAAAAAGAAAAATTAGACGAACTGGCTTTGCGACAGATGCTGCTTTCGTGTAAGGGTCAGGGATTTGAAGCAAATGCCGTAACTGTCTTTACTATCTCTACTTGGAAAGAACTTAGTGATAAGTTCTTTACTGCTGCCTCTAAGGGAGAAAAAGTTGCTGCTTCCCTCTTTACAACTTGGCGATTGTTATCTGGAACAGTAAAAGACATTAAAGCACAGTCTGAGGACATTAGAATGCTACTAGATACCATCATACGGAGAAATCGTGCAAAAAGGGAGTCGAGCGGAGTTGAAGGGAGTCGGAGCGGGACCAGAGATCACGGAGCGGGGCCGGGGACAACCGAGCGGCCCTGCCAAAATGAACGCGGTGCTAGCGTCTCGGCAGTGCATATCCAGGACGATCGGAGACGGCGGCTGCGGCGTGAAAGTGCTGCTGATGGACCGGGGACGAACTTTACGAACACTGTGACTGAGTTCCACCTTAAGAAACTTCTTGCTTTTTATCTGAACTGTGCTGCGGGACTGCGTGGCACGGTTTGTGGCTGTATTCACGGCGCTGGGTGCTTCCGCCGCCGTGCTGAGTGAACCCGTGTCGGCGCTGGGTCTGTCTGCCTGTGGCGGGTGCCTATGGGGCGGTGCCGGGCGGCGGGGTAGTGGCAGTGGTCGCAGCGCCGTGCATGGCCCCGGTTCGGAGCGGTGCGCCCGCGTGCGTGCACGCCGGCGGCCCCGGGCGCGGCGGGCGCCGGGGGGGGCTCTGTTTCCCCCACGCTGCTGGCCGCCGTGGTCCCGGGGGGTGTGCGTTCCCCTTCCCTTCTTTGCAGCGAGTGTTTTTTCCCTGGTGCCGCTCCTCTTCCTAGAGCGGTGAGTTGATAACGATAGCAACGGCTTCGGGGAGTGCAGTCGGGGGAGGGGGAAAGCTGTTTATCTTTTTTCCTCGTTACTCCAATCACCCCCTCTCTGAAACGTGCCTGTTTGCAGTTGTTTTCTCCCTCTCCTATGTTTTGTCTTTTCTTAAGCAGACCCTGTGATTAAGTTGTTAAGTTCCTTCTGCTGATCTCTCTTGGTGAGCCCGGTCCCTCCTCCCCCTCCTTCGTCCTTCGGCAATGGGGGAGGCGGGGGCAAAAGACGGAAAAAAATGGAAAAGGGAAAAACAACTTAAATCTAACAATACCCCAACTTATAAATCAAATAAGATTGCACTGTGTTTACAGCAATAGGTGTTACGCATGCAGCGTGCTCATGGCATTCTCAAACGTTTTCTTCAAAAACAGAAAGGGAGACTGACGAAAAATCCCTTGAAGCAAGATTAGAAATAACGCAACATCCGTGCTTAGCTTTTTGTATATTGCAGAAGGTTGTTAGGAATCTCCTATAGTTTGCCATTTCGCTTCTCTTACATGAAATTTGGCTGTTTCCCCCAGGGGGAGGGGTGCGGGTAGAAGGTTTGCAGACAGAACGATGAGACGAAGGGGGTAGTCTTGCCCCCTGCAAAAGTAGTTTTATTGCCTTTATGACAGAATATCATTGCTCTATGAGAAGGGTTGAAGATTTCCAAGATAATATTCTGTTCTTTCTTGCTGTATTTTTCTTTTACATGGAGAGTTATGCAGGATTTACAGATTGCTGTTGGCAGCTATGCCATAAATTTCCTTTGAATTATGAAACTGATAAGAAGTGCACAGCCAATGACTATTTGAAAATGTGTGTGTGAATGATGGATGACTGAGGTGGTCATGTAAGAGTGTATGAAAAAAGATTGTGTGAAAGAGAAAAACTACATGAATGTGTAACTGTGTAAACTTAAAAATGCTTTCCGTCGGTGTCGAGATTTTAAGAAGGTATTAGGACTGAGGTTAAATAAGAGATTCTTACAAAAATTTGGTATTCTATTACAGCCTTGTGTGAAGGTTGTGAAATTTGAATCTCAGGTGGAGTTTTTCCACTGATATTGTTCCTTAGCTGTGTCATAAGTAGAATCATCACTAGGTTTAAATATAGTAGTAAAAATTTATTAAAGATTTATATAAAAATCAAAAAAGCAAAACAGCGCTGGGTGGCCTGAGGAGACCTCCGCTCCTTCAAGGTACACACCTCAATAAGTTTCAGTCTGCCTTTTATAGGTTTGTAACTGC